TAATTACTTTGGTACTCAATATAATGCTCTTTACCTTGGTGTATTTGCAGGCAATTGTGGTATTTGAAGCAAAGTATGCGTCTCCTGACGACGCCGCTGGCAATTTTGAGCCGACAAATTTGGTACGTTCTATACAGGAGCAACAGAATATTAGCTGCAGCAGCCACAGCTTGGATGATGATCAACAGATGCTACTTGACATCGAACAGAACATAGCGAACCTGGAGCGCAGTCTGAATAGAGGTGAAAATTTATTTCATATGAGATTATAAAAAAAGGAAACTTAATAATTTTCTGCTCGTTTGTGTTTTGTGTTAGTGTTATGTAGTGTTTAAGGTTTGCTTTATAGAATTTTTATAGCGAAATTAGTGGCTGTAAAAGTGAAAACATAATTTTTTATAGATGAAATGTAATATTTAAAGAAATGATTATATGGTAGAAATTTCAAAGAGAATATTTAATGTGTTTCTGGCAAGTGTACGATTACATATAAATGGGCAAATCTGAGTTTACCTAAAATTCATGAAATTAGATATTAATAAAATGCAAACGAAACTTAAATTAAAAAATTCTACAAACGAAAAATGGAATATTCGTAGACATAAGTAAATTACATATTTAATTAACAATATTACAAGGAAAGATTTAATAATAAATAATGAAATAAATTAAATAAAAAATTTATTTAAAGCATAAATATGAAGTTGAAGTATACAAGACCTGGATTTAGAAATTAAAAGTGTTTAAAAAATAATTTGAAAAAATATTTAATTTAAATGAAAATAAAATTTTTTTTCTTAAATCACAGATAGATAAAAAAAGAAAAAAGTTGAGTTCAGTATATTATTGTAAATTCCCAATAATAATTTACGTGTGTATATATCTTTGGGAAATGAAATATTTATTTATTTAACATTTAAATAGTTTTAACTCTCCACATACAATGCCACTTATGTTATATATTTTTGCATCCGCTTTGCGCTTTGTTTCACAAAAAGGAGCACTTAAATGTGCATAAATTATTGATAAAGTTCACAGAAATATCGAAATAATGTACAAATAATAGCGATATAAATTATTTATGAAAAAAATTAAAATTCAATAAAATAAAATGGAAATAGTTTCACATATTTTTAAATACCAGATAATAAATATTTAAAATTAACATAAACTTCAATAAGTAATTTCAGCTTAAATAGATATAGTAACAAACGATATATTTGGTTAATATTACCTTATATATTTGATTTTGTCACCCAAGTCATCTAAGTAAAAACAATATTAATAATATTATTTTAATTTAACAAAATCATAATAATGTATATATAACTACAAATATCAAATAAATAATTAAATAAAAAATAAATATATTAACTTCCATTAATCAGCCATACATATTTTGTTTTAGAATCCGGTGGCAATGTGGCCACTGGGAGTAGTGGCGCTAGTGGTAACGATACTTTTGTATCCCAAAAGAAGCGCCACTTACTAAGACGTGTCATGTCGGCCGCACAATCTGGCGCTTCAACATCAAGTCGCCAAAGAACAGAATTAAAATTTGACAAATTTGGCAAATCGCCAACAGCGGCCGCATCAACAAGTGCTAACGCAATGGCGGTTGATACAAATATTGCTGGTATTGCCAGTAGCAACGGAAGTCCACTGCCCAAGGAAAAGAAAATGTCTTTACGCACAGTAAGAAATATAATGCGCTTAGGACGGAGTAGGCAACAAACACAGTCACGCGATAGTAGCACCGAGGATGAGGGCAGGTAAGTTTGCTTTGCAGTACGTTTAATGTCAAAATACCTTCATATTTGTTTAGCCATGCTTTTCCAATAACAAATGCTTATGAGCTATGTATTGCTATTGCAAAGGACCTTGTGTACTTTAAAATATTTATATTTTTAAAAAATTTTTCATGTTTCAAATGCCTCAAAGCGTTAACGAGAAGTACCCTTGACTTTTGTTTTGTTTAAAATACCGTGAAAGTAGTTTAATTCACAATTCGATTTTTGTGGAATTTAATTTTCAATTTTGTTTTCTACCAATGTGAAGTTGAGATTTGTAATTTGAGTAAATAAACGAAGTAAACAAAGTAATGTTTAAATGAACATGAAATGTACACATTACCTCATTAACTAAAAACAAAACATTAACTAAAATGATGACAGAACATTTTTTTTGTATATGCTTTAGACGTTTAAATGTTTTTTAGTTTAATATTTAAGTTTAAAAAAGTCATTTAAGTTTAAAAGATTTTAAAACGATATCACACAAATGAATATAAAATCCTTGAAATATTTGAAAAAATATCGTTATCATATTGAACTTTCAATGCATCAATGAAAGCATTCAGACCATTTGAAATATTTTTAAAATAAAATATCAGACAATTAATAACTCACATAAACAGCAATATATTTAAAAATTCCAGACCCAATGTCGAAAACCGAAAAACACTTGTTGTATAGTTGTCTGACAAAAAGAATTTACTATGTTAGATTATCGGTTCTAATGTCATTCCAACAGTTAGCCTTTAAGCTAAAAGTTGCTTAAATCGATCAAGCAATTTCTTGTAGAGAATCTATACACATTAAAAAAGACTTGTTTATATTAAATTTCTAATAAAAAGATTTTTGTAAGTAACTATGAAGCTATTTTTTGAAGAGAATATTTATATATTAAGAAAATACTATTTATATTAACTCTATAATATAAATTTTATTGGTTTATTATAATAGGCTAGCTATTGATCGTTACAAGTACAGTCTAATTTCCATAACTCGAACTTCTTTAAATTGAATTTTGTACAAATCAAACTAAATAGAGTTCAACAGGGTTTAGAGAGCAAATTAGACTTAAATTGAAGTCTCCATAGGTCGAACCTTTTCTTTACAAAATGGTACTTCAAGTTATCTCCAAACGATCAAAAAATGTTTAGAGGGATTTGATCTAGTGATATCTCCATCTCCATTTTTTATTTAACCAAATAAATACTTACTAAATTTAACAGAATTATAATTTCGTCTTTGTTTTTCTTATATTGCATGATATGTTTAACCAACTATTTTAAGATTTTGTAATCATGTCCTGATTGATTTCCGTAATTCGACAAATCAATATTCAATAGATTAGTTTCTTGCTTGAAATATTTAAAGAGACTAACTAACTTTATGTACCATGTTTTCTGTTCTTTTCTTTTAAGACTTAGGATTTAGCTTTTCTGTAATGAAAATTATCTTACACGGATTCTAATATGATTTGTTTCTCATAGTGTTGAATAAATTAATAAACTAATTATTTGTAAGAAGACTGCATTTTCAGCTTTAACTGATACATAGTGTATAAAAGAAAAGTCTACAAAAAAAACAGTGGGTCTGAGGGAATCATAACTAATAGCTTCCACAGCTTCAGTGGTATGGCTTCATGAGGACTAAAAATGAATTATTAGGGCAAAATATTAACTGATGTATCCTTGTTGGTTGTTTATTACTCCAAACATGCCCATTTTCTTTTTGAACAAAGCTACTGACACTCTCTACAAACACAAATTATTTATAAACGCTACTTAGATCTATTAATGTTAGGTCCAAGCATTATTTAAAAAAATTCATTTTAGCTGTTTATATTTTCTTCTTTAATACGATTACGAAGAAGGGAGTGGACGATTTCAGAAAAACTGTATGTGATAAAAGCACAACTCCAATGAGTTTGATACAAATATTAAGAAAAATCAGGTTATCCATAAAAATATTTACAAAATTTTAAAAAAATCAACCTAGACTTATCATTTGAGCTCATGTCAATAGAAGGATGTTAAGCACCAAATAAAATGATGTTTAACGAATTAAAAGTAATGTGTGAGGGATTATTGGAATTTGTCATTTTAAGGATATTAGTAACTGAAGAGTTTTTTGAATGGGTTTTTTTGAGACTATGCGTGTTGAAAATATTGAAAATGCATCCCTCCGTGTGAGTTTAATTAGACAATAAATCATGGAAAAATAATATCCTTTTTTAATGTTTAGAACTGTAAATATATTAAAATTTACATATCACATTAGCACTTAAATCGTTTTAAAGGATATTTAAAGGAAGTTTTTATGCTAATAAAAATATTAGCTATAACACATATATTGAACTATATATATTCTTATTTTATAAGTTTGTAATTGTTATATTATAAATAGAGATAATAATATCCTATATGAAAAGGAATAAATAGCACAAGAAATAAATATATCCATACACGTTGTTTATCTCAAGTGCATAAATAATTATATGCATATAATTTCGCTTTTATTATTTTATGGACAGGGCGAGAAATAAAAATATCCATATATGTTTTTTTATCAAGTATATAAATATATACATATATATGTGTGTATAGATTATAATTAAGTAATAATACAAATTTTCCACGTTTTTAACTTTTTGCGACTGTAATAATTCAATATCTGTGAAATTAATAAAAACAACAAGCATTTTATTAATAATATATAGACTCGGTTAACCCTTAACTTTCAAACTAATTAAAGTAAATTAACTTTGTTTCATAAATATGTTAAAAAATTAAATAGTTGATTTCAATAAAATTCCTTTTAAATAACAAAAAATTTCGTATTGATAGTAGCTTTCCGCAATTAGTTGCTATATTTACTATAAATTATTTTTTGACCCCAAACAGTAATTTATAGGCGTTAAAAGTGACAAGTAACGCTCACCGCATGCTATAAAAACATACCGAACATAAATAAAGAAAGTTTTTTTTATATATTTTTTTATACAAACGTATGAGACTGTGAACACATGTGCACTTGATATGGTTAATAAAAATGAACATGTAGCTATGAGTACGTAGGACAAGATACAATATCTCGACGCAACTACAGATATGTGTATAGTAATTTTAGCCATTTGCCGCCATGCTGTATCTGGTACATTACGTGTACATACATTTTTTCTGTGTATTTTTAGAAGTTAAACATCAATCAATGCACACAGGTTGAACATTTTTTTTCCATTCATGGATGCACTCAGTTACCTTGGGTTACAGTCAATACTTTCATAACAGTTAATAATTTCTATTTGGAATTTCCGTTTCTCACAATAATCTCTCTTTGTATAAAATAATAATTGAATTTTCTAATAACAAAATTCTATTCATTTTTAATTGGATGACATTGGAATTGTCTTCAAGTCATTCGTAGCATCTGTTGCAACAACTTTAATTGTGTATGACTTCTCCCTATCAAATGGCACAATGGGGCGTATGAGTTTTATTTTAGCAATTATTTTCACAGTCGTGTGCAGGCCATGAGGACGACTGTATTTCTATGGCTCTGGTCATTATTAAAATTGCAAATTTTCCAGACAAAAGCATTAAAGTGTTTTAGTCTAGTAAATTTATTACTTGTATGACCTCTTCTAGTAAGCTTCTTGTGAATTTATTAGCTTTCATTTGCTTGTTCAACATTTCAAATAATTTGAAGCATACCTAGAGCACTTTATTATATAAAATCAGTAGTTTTTTTAAATAATACGTTTTAAGTTTATATATTTGGTAATTTAATTATATCTTCAAAATTTATAGTTTTTTTTTACATGGGTTAAATTAAAATTTTACATTGTTTTAATGACCAAACACTGGTCATTAAAACAGTTATTTCTATATTCCTGGATAGAGATATAAAGAGAACAAACTAGACAAGATGGCCTGAACAAATTTCGAAGTGAATATAAATGAGATTGATACCTCAATCCAAATACCAATGTAAAAAGTTTTTAGTAGTACAGATGAATTTATCTCATATTACCTTTAGTAACATACATGACTGTGAAGAAAAGAACGAGATCTATTTTAGGTTTCAGCAAACCAGCACTGCGTGTGCTTACGGTTGATGTATTATTACTCTATTACTAGTACTGTGCAAGAGTTGCTGTGCTGAAGTGGGCATGGAATCTTCAATCTGTTTTTGTTTTTGTTTAAAACTATAGAGGAAGCTGCTCTTATATCTGAGACATTCTTTTTTATTGGCCTATAAGGAGTTATGAAAAAAATTTATGGGATTTACTTAATTCCATTTATAAAAAACAAATCATTTAAAAAGAGCTGTAGTTATCTTTAAGTGTAAGTGTTAATCTAACCTAACCTATTATCTTATGTATGTGTATAGCATAATTTCTGTATTTCTTAACATTTTCTGGCGATTAGTAAACATCTTAACCATTTTTTTTAGGCTTAGATTTATATCATTATTAATATTCATCAGCTTCTATTTATTTTTCTATCATTAGTATTTAAAACTAAATAATGATTTGAATCGGCAAGCAATGTATATAAATTTCTATTTAACGATAATAATATCCATTGTTAACTTCTTCCTTACCACATAGACACAGCATGCATATCTGTGGTTAATAGATGACTATTTAACTTTGTGTAATCAAATATTCTTTTGAAAAAAAATTTTTTTGTGTGCTATGTATCTCTAGCTTATTACTCGCTTTAAAACAACTAGAAAATTTTGCTTACTTCCTTAACTACCTTTAGTACAGCTTGAGCTTCAATATTTTAAAATTCTAGCTATCTTTATTTCAGGTTACAAAAACATTTCATAAAATTACTTCCAACAGAAAGGATTATAGGAAAAGTATAAAGAAACAAAGCAGATATTTTACAAATATTTAACTACATATTATATTAAATATTAAATTCCAAATTTCTGTTTTTTTTTTTTTGTAGAAAGAATTATTTTAGATTGTTTTT